AGAGGTGCCATAGGTACAATCAGAGAACACTGTCTGAACATCAGTGGTCCACAGCTGTTAAATGCCATCCCAACAAGTATTAGAAATATTGCCAGAACAAAGGTGGATATCTTTAAGAAATATTTAGATAAGTTCCTGCAAAAAGTGCCAAACCAACCAGGCTGTAGTGAATATGTGGGCCTGCTGGCCGCTCCAAGCAATAGCCTTTTGGACCAAGTTATCAGAAGCCCAAGTCCAGGTTTGGGGAGTAGAAGAACTCCTGAAACCCTATCCACGTATGTTCCAGGTATAACCTCTACAGCAAGGCTGTGTGACCTGTTTAACAAGGCTGCGTGACCTGTACAGCAAGGCTGCGTGACCTCTACAGCAAGGCTGCGTGACCTCTACAGCAAGGCTGCGTGACCTCTACAGCAAGGCTGCGTGACCTCTACAGCAAGGCTGCATGACCTCTACAGCAAGGCTGCGAGACCTCTACAGCAAGGCTGCGAGACCTCTACAGCAAGGCTGCGAGACCTCTACAGCAAGGCTGCGTGACCACTACAGCAAGGCTGCGTGACCTCTACAGCAAGGCTGCGTGACCACTACAGCAAGGCTGCGAGACCTCTACAGCAAGGCTGCGTGACCTCTACAGCAAGGCTGCATGACCTCTACAGCAAGGCTGCGTGACCTCTACAGCAAGGCTGCGTGACCACTACAGCAAGGCTGCGAGACCTCTACAGCAAGGCTGCGTGACCTCTACAGCAAGGCTGTGTGACCTCTACAGCAATAATGTATAATCTCTACAGTAACTTAACATAAGAACCAAAGAAACCTAAGATAAATATTCACCATAAGAATATGTCATATATACTATAGTCTGATATGGACTAAAATGAAATAAAGATATAGGGACTATTAAGTAGCTGTGACTACATCCCTAATGAATATGAATACAAAATATATTTTATATATATATATATATTATACATACACACACACACACAGTATATATATTTTATTGCTCATATCCATTTTTATAGGTTTTAAATATTCCTCAATTTCAGTTGTGTGACTGATTTTATTTCTGATCCTGCAGAAGAATGCATAACTAAACAAAGCCCAACACTGAATATAATGAATCTCTTATTTCAAGGCGAGCCCTGGTGGCTCCCTGAAGCTATACGCCCTGAAGCCGAGATGGTACTATCTACTAGTTCATATCAGCCGTGTATCTGTATGTATGTATGTATGTATGTATGTATATGTGTGTGTATATATTTAAAAATTATATATAAATATATATATATTTATATAAAGGAAGGGAGTACCACCTCTGGCTGAAAGAAGGGGACCCTTAGCCTCGGAGGAAACCACACAACGCATTAGAGGGAATGTTTAGGTCCCCTCCAACACAGTTTGTGTGCTTTTCTTCTACCACCCCCTTCCTCTTTTTTTTTTTTTTTTTTTTTTTGCTTTATTGTGTATTTAAAGGTTACAAGATATACATTAGTTGATACAAAAAGTGCCTAAAAGTTATGGATCTCTTGAAGCTTCCGGACAGGAACCAAGGATGCAGTAGGCTTTTCCCCTGTGGATCGCCACACTGAGGTGCTGAAACAAAAAACTGGAAGCCCTTGGGTCTCTGGTGACGTCAATGAGCTTGGAGCCCAATTCCTTGAGAAATCCCAAGACACTCTTGCCCCAGGGGCCATGCGTCTCAGACGCTATGGGAACAAAGAGGTATTGACACTCCAGTCGCCTGTACTTGAGTGATTTTGCTGTTTCCTTGTGGTAGGCTGCCCCACCTGCTTGATCAGCACCGAAGTGTACATAGGTGTCAGCCAGGATGGATACACATGAGTAGTCTCACACCAACAGTTTGCCCGTTTTCCAAGAGTATATAGTGATACCATCAGGGCGAGGTGCGGGGATGCGAGGTTCTCTCTCCACTGGGCACCGAGCTGAGACGAGGCTTCTCTTGACGTCATTGACCTCGTTGTGTCTTGCATGCCAGGGCGGATGGATGGATGGATGAATGGATGGATATATATATAAAATCCACACAGAAACGGAAAAGAAAGATGAACGTTTCGGTCAATCAAGGCCGTTGTCAACACCAGGCTACAAGAAATCACAAAGGAAGAGTGGAGGTTAACACTAGAGCCTGACCACCATCCCCTGGTAAAGAATTAACCAGAAAAAGGTATAGATTAGCTTAGAATGAGCAGAAGGATTTAAGCAGTAAGAATAAAAGATTAAAGAAAAAGCCTCATTGAACACACACAAAATATATGAATATAATATTGTTATGAGACATTGTAACTCTCCCTATCATAGTTTTTTCTTAAACTGTTATGCAATATTGTAACTTAAAACTGGGTCAAGTTTGTACTTATCAGTACTAACATTGAGAAGATTAGGACACCGACTGATTAGGGCAGACTCAATTAAATTCCGTTCCACAAAGCCATTGCAATTGGTAATGCTTTTTGTCCCATCCCAATTAATAGTGTTATCACACAAACGTGTGTGTAGATACAAAGCATTAGACGTTTGGGCAGTTCTTATACTTTAAGCATGTTGGGACATATGTAATTGTAAGGATTTTCCTGTTTGTCCAAGGTACACAGATTCAACAATCATTGCAGGGAATCGAATACACACAACCTGCTGTACCAGGGGAATTCTTTATTAAATTAGACTTGATCGTATTATTAGTGAACACCAAATTGATATTAACACTATCATAAGAGGGACCCCAAGAGGAAAGGAACCTCCAAAAGAACAAACCCCTAAGGGCCTAAAAGCACATGGAACTGAACCTTGGGAAAACCACACCTGAATCATATTTATTCAAGAAGGAAGGCTATAAAAATCTTTCCCTCTGTAAGGGCAGACCCTCCTCAGAGGGAACCAGAGACCATTTAGAGTCAAACGGGACCCCAAGGGCCCAAATCTAACTCCCTCTAATCCCCAGAAGCCACAGTCGAGGGCCCCGGAGCAGAGTCAGCATCCTCGCCCACCACACGAGACAGATAAGTGGAGTCCAAGGGAGAGGCTTCAAAGGAGGGAGAGGCTTCTAAGTTGAGAGGGGCTGACTGAAATGAAGATCCAGAAGCTTTGATGGGACCTACTAGCTCAACTGTCTCAGCACCCGAATCAGTAGGGGGCAACTCCCGGAGCTGGCCGAGCCACATCCTGAGCTAAACCCTGCCATGACCCGGAAACCCTCAGAAGCTTCGGGGCCAAAAGCAAGGAAAAAAGATCAGAGGAAGGGCGAAACTCGCCCAAAGGAGAAGAAACAGGAGGTACTGATGAAGCCAAGGTGGAGTCGCCAACACATCCAATTTCAGGTCACTAAACACCAAACTGGACAGCTCTGGGGCATCCAATCAGGCTCATAACCCAGAATGCTGTAACATAGCAAAACAAACATGCAAAGCAATTGCTACCTGGTAAGCCCTAACTGCATCAGTAGAGTCCAAAGGAAGAGTCACACAGAGAGAACAAACACTACAGGACTCGGGGTCAAAAGTGTCATTGACCCAACAGGCAGCATGACATCGGTAGAAGAAATGGTCATCACTGAATGACACATGGACAACGAGCAACCCTCAAACTTGCACGAAGTGAGAACAGGCTTGGAAAGAATATCCATAGGACCACTGAACCCCAAAGGGATTTCTGGGGCCTGAAGGGCAAACCCAGCAGGACACCAAGGCACTGCCCTGGAAACACAAACCGAAACTGTCTCTATTTTCCGCTTGTTACAACTTGTAGTAAAGTTGTTTCATCTTGGCTTAACGTATTTATGACGTATTAGAATGTTGTTACAACTTGCTATATTGGTTGTTATAACTGGTTAGGTGGTGTTAAAACTTGTTCGAACGTTGTACCAACGTCGTAGTTTCGGTGTGTGTTTGGCGGGTGGGGACACCATGCCAGACTTAAAAGTAAGCTGACACAGCCAAGTCAATCTTGGCACACCTGAAACACGAACCACCAATGCCCCCCCCCCCCCTAGCCAACATCACGCCTGAGTCAAGAAAAGGAAACCACAAGACACCAGACTCATCCTGGGCAAGGGCCACCACATGTGAGGAGTATCTCTATGGGGAGCAATTCCCGAACACTCCAGAAAAGATAACTTTGGTAGTGCAAGAGAAGTGCTAGGGAACACCCAGAAGAGGGAACCCTGAGTATATGCAGCTCCAAGCACACTTAAAACTTGGCTCACACTACATGCAGTGTACAAGAAATGCTACATGTAGTGTACAAGCAAACACCACTCCACTTAGAGCAGAGCACCAGAGCCAACTCGGAAGAGCAGCAACCTGGTATGCATTACATCAGCTGTAGAACCGAGAGCTCACTCCCCAGCAGGCAGTGAGCATCCTTCCCTCTCCCACCAAATGAGTGGAGGTGGTGGAGCAAACGAGCTCACGTTAGTTCCGAGAAAATTTGCTTGTTTGTTTATATAGGAGAATTCTGTGTTTCAAGGCTTTGGTCCCTCAGCAGTTGTTTGTTTGGACTCACTGATTTTCCTGTTGCCTTCCCACAGGGAGCCAGTCGGCCGAGCGGACAGCACACTGGACTTGTGATCCCGTGGTCCTGGGTTCGATCCCAGGCGTCGGCGAGAAACAATGGGCAGTTTCTTTCACCCTATGCCCCTGTTACCTAGCAGTAAAATAGGTACCTGGGTGTTAGTCAGCTGTCACGGGCTGCTTCCTGGGGGTGGAGGCCTGGTCGAGGACCGGGCTGCGGGGACACTAAAAAGCCCCGAAATCATCAAGATAACCTCAAGATAAGATTCCCTGGTGAGGTGGCAAAAACAAGTGACACCACTCCCTACACTTCTGTGAAGGGGTGGGGTGGGAGGGCGTGGCTGATGCGATCTAGTTGATGGTACCATCTTACTGTATAGGTTCAAGAACAACATGGGGCTCCCTACAGAAAATCTGTTTGACTTGTAGCATACTGTACTGATTAAACTATTGTAATGGGGATGATCACAAATAAAACATTTTTAATATATTTTACTGAACAGAAAAAGTTTTAGTTTTATAAGGATTCTATATAAGTTAGGGAATAGTAAATTTGTTTTGCAAACTAAAATCTTTTCATTTAATAATCTATCATTCCTCCATGGATGTAGAAATTATTGATACAATTTTCATTGTGTAATTCATCTATTGCACTTTAACATACATTAGTAATTATTCATCAAGTTAAATTGAATTACAAAAGTTAGGAAGTAACTACTAACTTTAGTGCTTTTGGTTGTGTACATAATACAGTACTTTATCAATAAACTTCTACATATACCAACAGTGCAAACCTAACCAGTGATATACAGTATTTCCATGAGACACTATGAAGGCTGCTTTTAACAAATTATATGCTGTCGTCAACAAGAGGTTAATCATTTGAAAATAAAAATTACAATTTAAGTTAATATTTAGCTAAAAAATTAAATGGATCTTTACTAAAACTCTTTAATCTTAGAAATCTTCCTATATACACAATTAAAAAGTTAAAAGTTAACAAACCAGTCCATAGTTTTTTCATGGCGGTGCCAAGTCGAGTTCAAGACCAAAATCTCAAACTATGCTCATTTCCGTGTACTGAATAGTATATTACTATGAAACTGAGGTGACAACAATTTATAAGATGTACAGTGAAATTGTCAAGCTGAGACTTGGGTCATGCACTCTAAATAAAATAAGATACATGGTGTATATAGCTATGCTCTATGAGTCAGAGTCAGCTGATCTTCATATCTTCAAACTGACTGCTGGACGGAGTGTGCCTGTGGAGGAAGAAAATGTTGATTGACAATCAGATTAAATTCAGTGTATGATGAACTCTCTATTTTGATTATCTATAAAGAATTTACATTTTCTATAAACTCTTACATACACTAGGAAGTCGAAATTCATGCATACAAATCAGCCAGCCAGATATACAATAATATCCAGGATTAAGAGATATTCAGGGAGTTCTCAACATATAAATAAGATGCATTCCAAGACATTCATAAGCTGGCCATTCATAATCCAGAACTCAATTTTCCATAGGCACAATGCCATTAACTGGGCAGGCATTCCCATACCATCAAAAATTAACATTATACCATCATCACAAATTTTAAGGGAAAATGTTATACCAAAAACTATTTTTTATTTACCCTGAATGATGGTTTTGTCTTGCTTGTGTGACTATGCAAGTGATGAGGTCTAATTGGTAAAGAAAGGCAATAGGTGGTGGTGATTCATAGGGCAGAGACTGGTGGGTTGTCTTCAGTCACTGGCTACTGTAAATAGCTAATATACAGTGGTATCTCTCAAATTCATTCTGAGCAAAATTAAATACCAATTACACTTTTTCCCCATGTTTTATTGGCAAACTTTACTAACCAAAACCTACAGTTCAACCTGCAACATGGTGCATATCTACCAGAAGAGCCAGACTAAAGGGATTTCATCCCTCAACTCCATTTTATGTACTAGTTTTGATTATTTAGCTGAAGTTTCCTACTAATCATGACTCCCAAAGCTTTGTCATTCAAATTTTAGTTTCAACTTTGTCCAACTGATAACTAAATGTCTTTTAAGCCTCAAAACCTTAAATTTTACAGAAGTAACCCAAATTTGACAAACTCTCATACATTTTAAAAGCCTATCTAGATTGTCTAAACAATTTTTAATTTTAATTTATTTCGCACCCCATTTTTGTATCTTTGCAAATATTATAGTTCAACCCTGTGTGTAAATCTTTTATACTGTATATATCATAAAAAATGGAGGCCCCAGGACTGAGCCCTTTCGGCACTATTTACAAAAGGTTTCCTCCTGTTGCCTTTTAAACAACCATGCCCTTATTCAACTTGAGATATGTAAGTAATTATCAAAAGAAGGCACCAAGTTGGAAAGGTATATAGCACCATCAAATGTGCAGAATAATCATAGGGTGCTAAATATCACTAAGGATGCCAATATGAGAACAGAAACGCACAAAGCGAATGATATCAAAGGTATCCGATTCACCAAGAATTCTATCGAGAGAAGTGACTGCAAGGGACAGTTGGGAAGCAAGAGAGATGTTCGTCCTGGAAGTCAGGATATTCAATAAGGATGCAATGCAGTTTGGACAATAAGGAGCAGGGCAACACTCCATTAAATGCCCGTGAGTTAAACGTGCATGGCCAATACGTAACCTCGCCAAAGCCATTTCCCACAGCCTGTTATGGTGGTAGGAGGAAGACCATGGGGATACACTACTCTTAAGAGCACGCAGTTTATTACCAGTAACAGATGGCCAACGGGCCAAGATGGAGGAATGAATAACTGGGTAAAAGTAGGAATAAGGAATACCTTTACGGGAGATGGGACAAGTGCGGATAGCTTCCTTAGTGGAAGAGTCTGCACGCTCATTTAAGGACACACCAATATGGCTAGGAACCTAGCAAAATTCCTCTGTCTTAAATCTACTGGAGATAAACAGCCAATGTTGAATCTTGACTACTGTACCACCGGATGGACTGGACGAAAGAACTCCAGAGCCATGAGGGCACTACAAGAGTCAACTACATCAACAAAGGAGGATTGACAGCGAGAAAGCAGTTGACAAAGAGCAACCAGAATAGCATAAAGTTCTGCCATGAAGATGATACTCTCCGGAGGCGTGGTCTTGAAAAACAACAGAGTAGCCTACACCGTCTGCAGACTTTAGACCCACCGGTGAAGACAGAAATGGAGCGGTGGTGTGAAGAAAAGTGTTCAATGATAAGGCGTTTCAGAACTGTAGGAGGGGGTAAAAGCTTTAGTCACGTGGGTCAAGGTTTAACAAAATTTAGGAAGGGGGACGCTCCACGGGGAGCAAGGATGGAACGACATGAGGAGAAATATTGGTAACACCAACCAAAAAAGAATCTTGTAGGAGAGACAACCATACAGAGGGAACAGGGACCACAGGAGGGGAAAAAGTCAAAGCACGACATAGACGAGAGAGAGGGTATTGTAAGGACCGCGCAAGGTAGCGAAGACAGTAGGGCTGAGGATGGTGGTCCTGAAGAGACAGGATGTCAGTTTCAACATACAGGCTTAGGGTATGAGTCGAATGAAAAGCACCAGAGTTAAGGCATAACCCAGTATGGTGCAGAGCATCAAGATGGCGAAGAGTAGAAGGAGTAGATGAGTAAGCAGCGCAACCATAATAGAGTTTAGACAGTACAAGAGAGGAATGTAAAGAGAGGAGCATGCGCCTATCCGCCCCCCAAGAAGTATGAGACAAGACCTTAAGTAGGTTAAGGGCCTCAGAGCATTCAACTCAGAGGTAACAGATATGGGGTGACCAAGATAAACGAGTGTCAAAGATTAACCCCAGAAGCTTGGCAGAATCTTTGTACACAAGGAGATGACCATAAAGAGAAACAGGGACGAAGAATGACCTGCTTCTGGGTAAAAGTCTTAGCACAAGTTTTAGTTGTAGAGAACTTGAAGCCATGATTGGTGGCCCAAGACAACACGACATCAATTACAAGTTGAAGCCGTCATTGAAAGAAAGGCGAGTCATCACCCAGACAGCAAAGGGTAAGATCATCGACAAAGGACTAAGAAGATGCCAGAGGGACGGGAGGAAAGAAGACCACCGAGGGCAACAAGGAAAAAGAGTTGTGCTCAGAACACTACCTTGAGGTGCACCTTCGTATTGCCGAAAAGAGGCAGAAGTAGCGGTACCAAGCCTCACTCTAAAGGAACGACTAGAGAGGAAGCTTTGTAGGTGTTGATGTGCCACTGAGGGAGGGGTGTTGATGTGCCATTGGGGTAGGGTATTCATGTGACATTGGGATAGGGTATTGATGTGCCATTGTTGAAGAGTATTGATGTGCCATTGGGATAGGGTGTTGATATGCCATTGGGATAGGGTGTTTATGTGCCATTGGAGACGTGTTAATACACTATTGGGGGAGGGTGTTGATACACTATTGGGGGAGGGTGTTGATACACTATTGGGGGAGGGTGTTGATACACTATTGGGGGAGGGTGTTGATACACCATTGGGGGAGGGTGTTGATACACCATTGGGGGAGGGTGTTGATACACCATTGGGGGAGGGTGTTGATACACCATTGTGGGAAGGGTGTTGATACACCATTGTGGGAAGGGTGTTGATACACCATTGAGGGAGGGTGTTGATACACCATTGAGGGAGGGTGTTGATACACCATTGAGGGAGGGTGTTGATACACCATTGAGGGAGGGTGTTGATACACCATTGGGGGAGGGTGTTGATACACCATTGGGGGAGGGTGTTGATACACCATTGGGGGAGGGTGTTGATACACCATTGGGGGAGGGTGTTGATACACCATTGGGGGAGGGTGTTGATACACCATTGGGGGAGGGTGTTGATACACCATTGAGGGAGGGTGTTGATACACCATTGAGGGAGGGTGTTGATACACCATTGAGGGAGGGTGTTGATACACCATTGGGGGAGGGTGTTGATACACCATTGGGGGAGGGTGTTGATACACCATTGGGGGAGGGTGTTGATACACCATTGGGGGAGGGTGTTGATACACCATTGGGGGAGGGTGTTGATACACCATTGGGGGAGGGTGTTGATACACCATTGGGGGAGGTGTTGATTCACACACTGGGGACAAGTGATTGGTCATTTTCAGTGTTACTGGCTGTGTTTCATGTGGGAGATGATGGGTTGGTGGCAAACACCTTCGAGTCATCATCAGTGACAATAGCTGCTGAAGAAATCGATGGTTTGGGTCTCAGAGTTTTTGTCGAAATCTGTTGATGCAATTGAGAGAGACTTTTTAGAGGCAATTTCTAGCCTGGAGATTTTGAGGGAAATATGTTCTCAAAATACTTTTCACAACTTTGATCATTATTTCTATGTAAATTTGCCTGTAAAGTGCAAGGCCATTTAAACACACTTTTCAGGTGTTTTGATATCTCAGCATCATTGTCTTGCTCTTCCAAAATTACCAATGCATTATCTACAAGTTTAATTTCCTCTGTCCAGTATCTTAGCTGTGAATCATTTTCCTAGAGGTGTGTCAGCACCTTTTCCTTGACACTGGTGTGACATGAGTGACAGGGAGGCTTCTAACATGGATGAAAATTTGTCTGATCAACAGAAAAATGAGGACAGTCATCAGAAGCAATGTATCAGACTGGAGAAATGTCAAGTGTAGTACCACAAGGTTCAGCTCCATGTAATAGTAATGTCCATTGTCTAAATAAACGACCTACCAGATGGAATACAAAATTACATGAACACATTTGCTGATGATGTAAGATACTAGGGAAACGATAAAGACAGGATGATTGTCCTACCCTTCAAGAAGACCTGAACAAAGTAAGTGTATCGAGAGCCACTTAGCAAATGGAATTTAGTGAATAAATGCCATGTTAAGGAATGTGGAATAAGAGAAAATAGACCATGCGCAACCTATAATTTATGTGAAAAAACTTTAAACTATTTTTATTAAGACATCTAAGGGTATTCTAGATAGAAAACTGTCACCTGAAGACCACATAAAGAACACTGCGAGAAGCCTATAATTCACTTTCAAATTTTAGAATTGCTTTTATATACATAGATAGTGAAATACTAAAGAAATTGCTCATGACCTTCGCGAGACCAAAGATGGAATATACTTCAGTTGTATGGTGCCCATATCATAAGAAGCACATCAACAAACTAGAAAAGGTGCAAAGACATGCAACTAAATAGCTTCCAGAACTCTCCTGGTAGCTTCAAGAGCTACCAGGAGAAGTTAGAGGC